TACACATATATATTAAAACATGTGCCCTCTGGCCAAATTAGATTGTTATTTACTTCCTTTTTCGCTACTATGGGACATACTCACCATTCAAGGTTTATTCAGCTTATCCACACTGTCTTCCAAAACCCGTAATAAGTTTAGAGAATGGAAGCTACGAGGAAGCGGGTGACACTGCGTTAGAAACGCACGGGGAAATGACGCGGGCATTCGGGAGGAGCGGAGGGAGAATGGGCCGCGGCTACAATATGACACCAGGCAGGTGAGAAAGTGAACTGGGAGACAGAGACAGTCTGCCTATTTCGAAGTTGTGTCTACACATGCTGCCTTCTAAAACACGAAGTCGAGAGACTGTGCAGCCATCAAAAGTGGGCAGGCCGAGCGTCAGTACAAAGGTGTCTGCTTTACGGGCCTGCTGCTACGCCCTGGGTTATGAGAAGGCCAAGCACAGGTGACACGGAACATGAGAATAAACAAGACGACCCGAGAACAGTGGCTCACGCCTCGTGCACGATACAGAAGCCCAAATGGAGGACCGCACATGGCGACGCCCTTGCTCAGGGCAGACGGGGACCTCCGATAGCGACGACAGCTCCACAGCTGGCATCCCGCTCAGATCTAGTCTCTGGCCTAACCAGCACATTCCAGCCATGACCTCAGAGGAATTTCACGGTTTCCTCCTCAGTAAAACAGAACTGTCTTACCTAACACATAGGAATGTTCTAAGGATTGAAGTGAGTTGATTCATGTAAAGTGTTTACCAGCAAAGTGTTAAACAGAGTGGCACAGAGTAAGCTGTTAATCATGACGATATGATGATCATGATAGTGAGGGCGATGGTAATGGTGATGATGGTGGTGGTGATGATTTCCACCAGAGCTGAAGGTTGCCCAGGAAATCAGAGTTAGAGCTTAACATTGTGATGTGTGATTTTACAAGTGGGAACCATTACTGCAAGGCAAATATTTTTACAAATCTGCACAGCGATAAGCCCCATTTCCTATTGCCCATGCCCTGAGTTCTATTTGATAGGGTTTCGCTAAAATTAAAAGGACAGATAATAAGCATCTAAGTTAGAATAAAAATCTGCCTGAAGAAAACTAAAAGGGCTCTTTTACTTAAGACAAAGCAGGAAAAAAATCAAATCCTCTAAAGATCTTCAAGCATTTCAGTCAACTCATTTGTTTTACAATGATTCAAATAAAATATTATTTTGGAATTTCAAATATCACATGACATTGTAAAGACCTGGAATTAGGTAAAAGAATTACAAAGCCTTTCATTTGTGCATAGAAAATTTCAAGTTTCTTTTTGTAAACATTAATGAAAAGTGTTACATAAAAATATGTTCGAAAGACAAGATCTTTCATTAGGGGGCGCTAAATACCTAAAAATAAGATGTAATAAAATTTTGAATTTGTAAAATGCATCCTTTCATAAATAATACAGACACCACCATTTTGCACCTACATTGGTTTGTGTGTGAAACTCACCTCAACCAAAATTTGAGAAATGTCTATTTGTAGTTTATTAATCCTCATAAACTAAACTGAAAAAAAAAATTGTCCATTCTGGATATTTTCTATATTTTAAAAGAAAGCAAAATTGTTATAATCTTGAAAAAAGATTGCCATTTTTTTTAGCTACTCTTTATACTTTTGTGCTCCATTAAGAAGTTAACATCAGCTCCTGAGAACAGGGAACAGCTTTATAAAACATTTTTTAATGTCCTTTAGGGAGAAAAAAAGAGGTTTCAGTGGAGACTGGGAGAAACAGGGAATTAATTATTATAAGGTCATTCCAGTTATCTTTACCTTTATAAGGCTTTACCCTCATCATAAAGGGATAATGTCAGGAGTGTGCATGGCCCTGAGGAAAAATTACACTAACAGCATCTCAGACAGAAACAAATCCTGTATCTGAAAACAACTGTTAAACCACCTCTCAACTTCCTCTCTCCAAGTTATAAGTAACTTTTACACTGGTTTCTGTTTCTGTAAGCCAACACTGTAGCTTGCATTCTAAAAGCTTGTTACATTTCTGCACATTCCCTTATTTATTGTAAAAGTAAAAATTACAAAACATGCTAAATCTTGCTAAAGTGCCCCAAATAACTCCAAATTGAGGTCAGTTTCTTTCTTTTTAGTGTATTATGGTAAAGCCCAAGCTACCTTCTATATTTATCAGGGTCATTTTGACTTTAATTCTTAACTTTAAAGATTCTCATCTCCATGTAGATCTCAACCTACCAATTTTGCTTGCAGATAAGTATTTGATTCCAGATTATTACTACAAAGTATCTGAAAGAAATGTTTAAAACTGCTCAAATTAGCTGTCATGACAACCTGAGGTTGACATTGATTCAGTAATATACATTCCTTCATTCAAATGATCTATGTATTCCTTCAAAGAGCCTACTACATGCCTGACACGACTCAGCGCTAGTGCTACAGCAGTCCTCAAAAGAAAGCCCTCGTCTTCCTGAAGTTCATATTCCACAGAAAAGTGAGAACAGGTAAGAGCTTTGAGAAGAAGATAAAGAGTAACTGGGGATGGGATGGCAGGATTGATATTTAACAAATAAAAGGTGGTCAGGGAGGAGTCTCATAATAAGGTGACATTTGCAGAAATCTGAACAAAGTGAGGTAAGAGCCATGTGGGTACCCAGGGAGTTATTCTAGGCAGAGGGACCACTTAGTCCAAGGCTCTGGGAGAAGTGAGCCTGATGTGTTCAAGAAACAGCCAGGAGACTCACATGGATTAGAGTGAAAGGACAAGAAATGATGGGATGACAGGATCTGACACTGCGGCAGAGGGTGCATAATGTGGCATGCTGAGTTACAGCAAAGACTGAATTTTATTCTGAGTGAGCTGGGAAACCACTCTCAATTTTGCCACTTCAGACAGTTCTTCTAACAGCAACGAAGTTGTATTTTGGGAATAATGCATACATTTTCACATTTCCTTTGGTAATTATCATGTAATATGTAAACAAGATAGTCATCAATAAATCACTCTATGACTTAAAATCATCATGTTAAATAATACATACTCTGTTCGTGTTTCTGGATCGCTATGGCAGGAATGACACATGGCACTGAAGCGAGATACAAAAAAGTCATAACGTCTGTGATAGGATGGTGTGTCTTCCTCAATATTTGCAAATTTGACAAACTGGAAACAAAAAAACCAATATAAAAGTGTTATCGCCTTTTTGAAAGAGGGGACCAAACACATGTACTTTCATTTATTACTTGTTACATTAACAAGAAATATCGAAATAAGCAAACAAGATGTACGAAATACCATAAATACCACATGTATACAGCAGGAACCTTGGAACAATGAACTGAGAAAATCAAGGATACAGCATTATAAATGTTAACTATCACTTGTTAATCCAGTTCCCTGGGAAGTGAGTGAGCCGCCCGTCTAGAAGGAAAGGTCTCACTCCACGGCTCTACGTTTCCTGGAGGCTGGCTTCAGTGATGACCTCAGGCCCAAACCTACAGGGAATTTTATTTCTTAATTGTGGGGAGGGAATCTTCTGTGACAGCTGTTACGTAACACATGGATGAATAACATTTATACAAATAAGATGGGACAAGAAAAGGGGACATAAACTGAAAGAAACATAAACTCAGTAGAGAAGAAAAGTACTGAGATGGGTAAAATTCATTCTACCTCCTTTCTAAAGGTTAAAAAAAAACAACAAAAAACTATCCATATGTCTAGGAAATTGTAAATTTCCTACATGAATCACAGACTTGGCCCTAAGAGTCCTCACTATGCTTTTCTCATTAGCTTTCTTATTCATTTGGTGATTTATTAATTCTGTATACTAAATAGCCTAAAGTAATAAGCTGTTCATTTACTTGCAGATTAAATATATATATAAAAACCTGTCAGGATATAGGCTGATGGCTTTAAGAGGTTAAACCCAAAAGAATTATTCAGTCAAATTTACTGATACTCACTTGGAAATAAAAATGAAAAAGCATAGGATAAATCTGAAAAAATGAAAGTATGATGTCAAACGTTCAGGGAGTGGGGGAAAAACTGCCCCCCATCTAGAATTATTGCTTTAGTGTAGTGAATGGATTCAATGACTGGTCTCTATGGACAACTGGTAATATTTAAAGAAAAAGATTAAGAATAGCAATGAGGCTTGAAAAAAGTGAGATGGATCAACTGAACTCATGAGGAAGAAAAAAGGAAAATAATGTATGCTTTTCCTAGACCTTACTCCACAATAATGACAGTGTATTTACACGCAAAATACAAACTTTGGCGTAGGGAAGACACAGCACTGAATCCCTTATATGCAGCATACTTCACTGTGTCTTTGGACATGTTATTTGACTTCAATTCTTCATCTGTAAATGGGAATAATATTTCCGAGCTTGAAGAGTTTTGTGAGGATGTAATGACATAATAAAATGAAGTATCTAGCACATACTAGACTACAATTGATCCTTGAAAAATGCAAGGGTTAGGGGTTCCGACCCCCACACAATAGAAAATCTGTATATAACTTTTGGTTCCCTAAAAACTTAACTACTAATAGCCCACTGTTGACCAAAAGCCTTACAGACAGAATAAAGTCAATTAACACATATTTGGTATGGTCTATGTATTTATATACTGTATTCTTACAATAAAGTAAGGTAGAAGAAAAAAATATTAAAAAAATTATATGGAAGAGAAAATGCATTTATAGTAATATACATATTTATTGAAAATAAATTTATTGAAGTATTTATTGAAAAAAAAATCCATGTGGGGCCAGCTGAATGGTTCAGTTGGTTAAGAGCTCACTCAAGAGTGCGAGCTCTGAGCAACAGCAATTCGATGCCTAACCTGAGCTGAGCAGCCACTGAGCTGCCAACAGATGGCAGGATGGCTCAACTATAAAAAAAAAAAAAAATCCATGTATAAGTGGACCTGTGTAGTTCAAACAAGTGTTGCTTAAGGGTCAACTATATTTCCTTATAAAAATCTGAACCAGTGCTGCATAGTATTAATATTTATTACCATTATGTATTATTTATAACAACAATGATTATATATTACCATTTAATGATAAATTAATTACCTAGCAATTTTCTTTCCTGAATCAGTGTATATATACAGGTATGCTATATTATGCTCTGTACTTTTCTGTATTTGAAATAATAGTTCACAATAAAAAGGGGGTACTATGAAAAGTACTAGCGCAATTGTTAAAATGAAGGAGAAACTGAATAAACAGAGCACTGTCACACTGGGTCAGCATCAACACAGAGGCAAATGTCACTAAATTAAAATAAAATGTACAAAAATCCTTAATAAATGGAAAAGTATTAAATCAGTACCAGTCGTGTTTGACAATTTAGCACCACTAAAAAATTAAAATTAGATTTCCAAGGAATACTAGATAAATAATGTTGGTCAAGATCATACAGAATTTCATTTAATACAATTTGCTCAAATCGAAGTAGGTAATTAAGAATTTGGTCTTTTGCCCAAATGACTCATTAAAGAAATCCTAATGGCACTGCTGGCTGCAAGTAGAGAAACTTCTGGGGGTGTACACTAAAACTTCCACCCCAACTATGAAACCACTTTCCCTAAAGTTTTATCACTATTATAAGAAAACAGGAGAAGCCTGAGCAGCTCCGCTGCCTGAAACGGAGCCCTCACACCACTAACGGCATTTGAAAACATGCAACAGTTTCCCTCTTCAAATCATAGTGAGGATTTTATATACTTTTGCTTTTCTTTAAATATTCTACTACTAATAATAATGACTAACAATGCCATGTACTGTCTTAACAGCTTCATATATATTAACTCATATCACACAACGATCCTATAAGGAGGGTACTACTGTATTCTCATTTCACAGATGAAAAGCTGAGGCAAGGAGAGGTTAACTAACTCTCCCAAGACAGACAGCCAGAAAGTGGTGCAGGCATCATTAAACCAGGGCAGTGGGACCCTGGAATTCATGCTGCTAGTCCCACCTATACTTTCTCCCCTATACTATAAAGAATTGTCCATAAACAATAGCAGGAGATACGGAACTGTTAGTTGCTGATAAAAATCAGGATGGAAACCTGTGGATGGGCTGAATGCCTGAAGGCTTCCTCAGAGGGGACGCTGTGCAATGCCACTAAAGCCAAGAGAAGAAAGGTTACCCCTGGATCTTGTTTTCCTTTGCAGGTTTGCCTTCCCCAACCCCACGTGTTTAACAAACTATGGTTCAGAATAAGAGAGAATGGGTGTGGCCAGCAGAAATCATTCAGAAGTCATGGGGGAAATAAACCCTAACTTTAATGGCCAATGACTTACTGTTGTTCCTCGTGATGTGATTGGTTAATATCACAGATTTCACAAGAAGCAGCAGCAAAATCTAGAGTCAAAGTGTTCTGTCCATCTGCATCTATACTGACTGTCCACATGCGCGGACGGGAGCATCTGCCTGTACCGGGGAACGGCCTTCTCAGAATGCCTCTTCTGTATATGCTAATGAAACTCAAAACTAGTTAAGAGAAGAGTTTACTCACAGAATTTGTTCCAAGAACTTGAAGCTTTGGTTCCCCTGATTCCAGCAGTTTTGCTACCATATGAAGAAAGCTTTCTACAAATGGCTTGATGCTTTGAGAATGGCAAGCCATAAGAAGTTGGTCCAATGCCTCCATAGCAATTAAAACATACCTAAATGTAAGAGGAAAATAACGTCAAAGCATTTCTAGTTTTCTTAATTCTAAGTGCTTTTCACTGGAAGAATTGAAATAAGTTTATTAAAATGCACAAAACACAGAAAGGCACATTTAGTGGTTTCTAAGCAGAATCTTAATCCTCACACGCTGTAATGATCTAGATTATAAAATAATTCTCAATTGAAGTAAACAAAAACTATGCTGGATGACTCCGTTTTCTCCTTCTCACCAAAAACCCTTTCAGAGCTTCCTTAACATTAGCTCTGTGTATCTTTTCTTTGTAAACATGGACAGTTTGTTTTCCAGACTTTTAACCACATTTCTTTGTATCTGACTCCAAATCGTTACAAGCAATGTGCCTGAATTTCCAACATAATCTATCTGTATTTGTAATCATGAGCATATAAAACATTATCGGCAACAACAGACTGTTATCATAAGGCAGGGTCTCATACATGTTACCTTACAATTCATCAGGCTTTAAAACTTGTACAAAAAGACTTTAGTTAACTTTGCTTCAACACTGAACTATAAAAACTATGTGTATCGAGACTCACTAAAATGTTCTAAGCGGTTAACTACAGGGATGTAGAGAAAGCTGGTATTTCCCGCGCAGAATGGAGCGTTTGAAGAAACTGGGACGGTACAATGACAGTATGGGAAAGTATGTGTAATCCAAACTATCCAAGTCATTACTGTTCAAGCACAGAGAATGGGCTGGGATGGCAGACTTTCACTTACAGGCAGCTCTGCAGCTAACGCCATTCCCACTCAGCATGCGTGCACCTTCTGAGCCTGCACACCTAAGCCTGACGCGGTTCTGTCATTACTCCTCTGACAGGTAAAACTGAAGCTGTGTTACACATCAATTGGTTAAGAGGACCTTTCTCTTTGTTTTCAATTTAGAGACTGGTTTTGAAATTACAGTACTGCACTAATAGACGGAGGGAGTCCATTTCTACTGTTTCCATTAGACAAGTTTCAAAAACTAAGTAAGAGGTGCTTAAGCTAAAGGCAGCTGCATTAACTAACATGAGCCTATTCTTCAAATCACACCACGAGGAAAGTAATAAAGGCTGCGGCATCTAGACAGCGTTACACATTTCCTTATATAATATTACAACGTTTTACCCTCACACATCACTTTTGCCCGACTAGATGGCAAACTAATTTAAAGGATGACTCAGCCTGAAGGGTTTTCCGATGCTACAACATTAGCAGCCATGTTTCCTTACCCAGAACGGTGCCTGACAACATCCCTGCTCAGCCGCTCTGCCAGGTACGAGCCAATCCGGTCTAGTTTCTCTGGAGCTGATACTGCATAAAATGTCAGTTTCTCCATATCGGCTTTGACAAGACCATCCTACAACATAACAAGATAAAGAGGTTACCTATATTTTCATGCTTATTTGTTTGTATTTCTAAGTGTTGCCTGTTCACAGTTCCCCTTTTTGGATTGGTGATTAAGCCATATTTACACTGAACCGTTCTGGATATAGCTCCCTTAGTGCTAATATTCACCATTCTGGATACACAGAATTTTCAAAAAGTTGAAACACCCCATTTATGCAAATATTTAAATATCCCTTCATAAGCAATGAATTATTCTAACACCCTCCCATATAGAGAAAAGGTTTCCAACTGAAGTTTTCAAAGCTCCCTCACTGCCTGCAAGGCAAAGTGGATCAAGTTGACACCTGGTCTGTCATTCATGCCTCCTTCACCTGGCCTCTACCTCATCTTCAGTCACCATGTGTTCCTGACGACTGAGGGTAATGCTGTGAATATTCAGTCTATTAAACAATACTTCTGAAATTTCCAATCAGAAATTCTGGTCAACATGATTCCCGCCCATTTTCCTCTACAACTGGCAGGGTCTTATCTCAAATGTATCTCGTGCTTTCCCAGGCCCCTCATTTGCGACAAAGAGACTAATCTTGACTTTGCCAGATGGCGTACATCCTTCAGAGCTCAGCAAACCTCCTTTCCTCTGAGAATGCTTCCCTCATGCTGCCAACCTACAGTGATACCTCCGTGCTTTAAAGGGAACACTTTACCGCCTGTTTTACTTAACGTTTCACTTACTGACTTATGCGCTGTGATTTAATGGTTCGTATGCTTTTGCTTTATATTCGTCAATGGATGGAAAGCTCCTTAAAGGCAGAAACCGTATCTTAACGGGTTTTTTTTTCTATGCCACAAATGATGCAGGATATCCGATAGCCAACAGAATTTCACTGATTAGCCTCCTCTACATAGCTGACTACTTAAATCAGATTTGACTAAAAATGAGGTATATCTCATATGTCATGAGACATATAAATTAATGTTAAGATAACCAAAAGGTTTCTACAGTTGGCTACATTTTAAAATAAAGAAAACTCTAGACATCAAAGCCACGTAACAATTTTTGTTCATATCCATGTAACACTAGACTAAAGGAATCTTAGAAAATTTAAATGTCAGACAAAACCACTGAAACCCAGTTTGCTCTGAAACCAGTAATCTTCTACAATAAAGTAATTTTTAGTAAAAAAATTAAAAGAATTTAAGTAAAATCAGAGCAAACTCTGCCTGGAGTATTCTTACTTTACACTTCAATTCTCTTCTAAAAACTGTGTGGCCAACACTATTTATTCTTTGACTCGTAGCTGAGATTTCACTTCCTTCAGGCCTTTCTTCTTCCAAACCCAAATTAGGTATCATCCCAGTGCTTCATTTCTCTATCACAGTATTCTTCATTTCTCTATCACAGTATTCTTACAAAATAGCGTAGTTGCCAATTTACTTGTCTACGAACTTGGTGACAGCAGAAAACCATGTCTGCATTCACAGTTGTATTCTTAGCATTTCATACAAATAATGTGGCATTAGTCCATAAATTTTTCATGAGTATTACTTAAACTGAGGAACTATTTAGACACAAGAATGTCACCTGTCCATCATTCCAAATGTATGCCCAGTCTACAAAAAGGATATGAAAATTAGACAAGCAAGCATGGGTCATTTAAAAGTAAAAGAAAGAGAAGTATAAAAATAGTGGCGTACACAGTGAGATTTAGGGGTAAAGCAGAGAAATGAAACGAGGGAAACCTTGGGGGGCCAGCAGGGGGAGGATGGGTCAGCAAAGAGAAGGGTCAGCAGATGTAGATCAAATTACTTTTGGGTCCTCAGGGAATATGTTGTCCACCAGGCGTTTGTAGCGAGGACGCAAAGCAGAGCAGCAGCAACACACTCCTGTTCAAAAGAGAAGAGAATCACTAAGTACAGCGGTTATTCACATTGTAAACTGACCTAGAAGTTCAAGTCTCTGAATTTTAATGGGTTATTTAAAATAAAGGAGAAAAATTCAAACTGCCACCAACAGAAAAAGTCAAGTAAATTCTATTACTGATTAAGAAAGGAAAAAGTTAAATTTCTTCTCCCCTCGCCAAAGACACCAGGTCAACATGAATATATTAATGAATTATTCCACAGTTCCAAACCAAATTGTTTGGGGGCATGTGTACACACACACATACACACACACACACTCACACACCCCTGCCGAATTCACCCTATAGAGTAAACACATTATTGGCACCCCTTTACCTGCTTTCTGATCTCACACTGCTCTCTGTACGCCCCATCACTGCTTCCCCCCACTCCCCACTCCCATCTGACCCAATCCACTCAGCTCCAGCCACCGTGGTCTTAAAACAATGGTTCATTCCTAGCACAGCTGGTGAAAACAGGTAATACATGGATTTACATAATGAGGAGGAAACAAGCTCAAAGGAAGTTCAGAAACGTTAAAAACCGCTTAAGTGCGGCTGTATATATTTTTGAGTTGTTGGTGTCTTAGAAAACGCAATGGATTTGGATCCAGAAGACCTGGGCTCATTCCAGTTCTTTCACTTATGCGGCTCCATGACCCAAGAAAGGCACATTAGCTATCTGGAAAGAATTATGTGATGTGGGAGGGATCAGTTGTCTTGTCCTGCAAAGTAGTAACTCGACAGGCATGTTGGTCTTCAGCCATTATAAAGTTATTCTTATGATTCACACAACCCGGGTATGCATGTGTCTGTGAAATGTGCATTTGTATGTATTTAGAAACAAAAATATGGGATGAGGAACACTTGAGCAGGAAGTTACAAGGACTCAGATCTAAGCAGGCATCTGCTACTATCTTATCGAGTGACGTTATGCAAGAGACAAGTGCTGCAGGGCTCACTCTGCTCATGAAGTATGCATCGCTCACACATGCAGTCATACACCAGCGGTCAGCGGAGTGCCCAGCACAGGCCAGAACAGATAAGACCGAGTCTGGATTTGCAGTAGAGTAGAGCCATTAATGGTAAAAAAACAAGACAGTTAAGATTTGTACAGCATCGTTAGTGATCATAAAACATACATGCATGTACACATACAGAAACATACATCAATAATGCATAAATTACTGCAATAATACCTCACTTGCAAACTAGTGAGGTATTATTATCTATACCACTTACAAGAGTGGGACGTGCAGTAGTGCTGACCACGGAACTTACACAACAGCAGTGGGTCGGTGAGACTCCACGGTCCCGTTCTACAACGCCACAGATACTAGTGGTCAAATCGATCCACATCCAAATATTCCATGTGCACCTACTATGTGGCATCATGCTAGATACCATAGATACAAGAAAGTATAAAAGACACAAGATCTTTACCCTTGAGAAGTTTATAAACTGTTATAAACCAGGTTTTTTTCAGCAGTATATGCTTAGGCACTATATGCTGATAACATAAAACACTACTCATTGTTTAGGGTGTTTTCTACTTTAATAGAAGAAAAAAATTCCAGAGAGTCCATTCGGGGATTTTTTTTCCCAGATTAACACCAAAATACCTGAATTCTTTTTAGAGTCCAAAAGTGAAACACAGGTCTGATTAGAAAGAAAAACAAAGGTAACAGTCAAATAAGCAAAAGTCCTATTCTGTTTCTACTACTTTATATAAATATACTTCAGATAAATGTTAACACATTGAAATAAATTAAAGTCAAATGTGTATTGAGTGATTAACTTATACAGGGCACTGAGCTAGGCGTTGCAACGATGAAAGAAGCTTATAACCTGCCAAGAAGATTAGGAGGAATACTTTGCTAACCCTAAACAAGGCCTAATTGTAAATTCAAACTGCTGTCATGGCAGAGAGATGGGCAATGGGACTAAAAACAACTCTCAGTGTTTCACGTTTCCCATCAGAATGGCAAACTGTGTTATTTTCAAGAGTTAAGGAAGGGTTCTTAATAAACTATTGGGTTGTCAAAAAGTCATGATGCATTTTTGCAACAAAAAACATAGAAAAAATATGTCATGACTTTTCCGACAACCCACTTACACTGACGCTTTCTGATGTTATACTTGTATATTGCTTTTAGTTTAAAGACGCTTCAAAAACATGTGACCTTGGAATACACACGATATCCAGCTCCTCCTTTCAGGAAGCTTAGGTCTGCTGGTGGGGACAGCTGAGTAAAAAGGTCAAAAGCCAAATAGGCCGCGTGGTGTAAAGGGTCTGCGCTCTGGCGTCGCAGACCTGGGGTCAACCCAGGGTTCCTCGCTGTCCAGCTGGGTGGGCAGGTTACTTTCTGTCACTTCACCTGCTTCCGCATGGGTTAAATGGGTGTAATCATGCCCTTTTCATATTTACTGGCAAATTAAATAAAATTATATCTAGTTCTTATTAAGGGTGCACCATACAGTAAGCATTCAACGAAAGGCAGCTCTTATTAGCAATGCAGTGAGGGAAGTACTCCTATATAATGGATAACCAGAAGGGGCCTGAGGGCCCTTGAGATAATAGTCCCAACAATGTGAAAGCCTTTGCTGTAAACTCATGATCTGAAAATCACAAGATTTTATAGATGGTTCTCCACAAGCTTTCCATCACAGTATACGTACCAGCAGGCGTCCCTGCCAGGTTCTGAACATGAAGTGTGCAGCACAGTCCTCATTTACTGCTATGGCGCCTCGCTGAGGTGGTTATTATCATCTCTGATAAATGAGGAACCAGAGGCTCAGGGAGGCCCATCTGTCCCATCACAGGCTGCTAAGGAGAAGAACTCAGATGCCAACCAGATCCGATGACCTCAAAGGGTAACTGCCCCATGAAATTCCAGTACCACACAATTTCTACATGACTAAACAGTCTGTAGTCTCACACACCGTGACCGATGAACATGACCGTAGGAATGAGTCTAACATATGAAGAATGCAGTTCCGTAACAGGCAAGTAAATGATCACAGCGAGGTTGTCCAGAAGCCCCCAAATGAAACGAAACAAAACACCTCCTTGACCATTCACTACAAACCAAAAGCTACCAGCTACAGAGAGGATACATGAAATCACGCTTAAAAAGTTCAATTTACTCAGGTTTCTATAAATGAGAACACACTGAAAATACTATAAGGTTAGAATGACTGTGGCAACAGTAACCACAAAAGAAATGACTACCGACTACTTTAAATGGGAGAACGCTGGACCTACAAACATCAGGAGAACAAGCGAAATGACCTACTCAGGCACAGAAGCGCGGCTGGCTCCCTCGCGGAAGGCAGCTCGTAGGGCTCCTGGAGTTCCGCTGCTGGTACCTGCACATACTCTTTCATGGTGCCAGGGACTGTTCTCCAGGCCCTCCTGCTGCTCCTACATCCTGTGGCCTACTGTTCAGGAAGTGCCCAGGTCACCTGACTTGTAATCCATTAGCAGAGGGCACTAACGTACTGTAACTTATCCAACTTGTTGTTGACATCAAATAGAAAGCTATCGAGAACTTGATAAGAGTTTGATAACATCCATATCGAATTCTGCAGGCAAGGCCAAATAGCTCCAACAAGACACTATTAAACTACTTGTATTGCTAATTTAGGAAAAGTAGATTTTCATAAAGTTGAAATAAGAAAACAAGCCTGCTTGTACCTTTTCTCCTGAAAGCATTCCTTGACTTCCTCCTCATCTAGGTCTGATCCCTTCCAGCCCACTCCTCACTTTTCCATCTCCTCCCAACCTTTTCTTTTCCAAAGGAAAACAAGGCTAAGCGTTTCACCAAAAGCCTCAAGCAATCAGCAAGTCTGAGCGACATGAATTCTTCCTTTCCATTTAATTCCAGCACCTACAGAAACCGGCTGCTCTCGTCCTGTAGCACGTGGAATTCAGAACCCTGCTCACGATACAGTGAGGAGGAGAAACACACTGTCTCAAGTGGGATAACTAAACTGTGGGAAAATGGCACAGGGGCGGAGCTGGAAAGCGAAAACTTGTACCAAAAAAAAAGTGCCAGGCTCATGGGGCAATCTGTTCAATAAGGCTTTCTAAAGAGCCTTAGTCAGTAAACAGGAAAAGCTTTCTATCTGCCTCTCTGGATTGGGAGTGCTATATTAATATAAAAATTGCCTGGAACCTTAAAACATTAATATATTTCCGTAAGTTCTACATACCTCTCAATTAGCCACTTCTTAAAGGCTCCCCAAGGCAATTTCTTCTCTTTAGCAACCCTGGTGTCCTTCTCCTGTGGATTCACCAACGCGCCCTCGTCCTCACCTCACACAGGAGTCGGATGCGTGGGCTCCAGCATCCTCCTTGCATGGTGAGGTTCAGAATCAGTTTCCAACCCGCCCTGACCCATTCATAGAAGGGCTGGAGGCACAGCACAGAACACCTCACGCTGAGCTGAGAGTGGCACGGAGCAGGTGCGTGGGCACACGGGGGTCCTGGGAGAATGCCGCTTAATTCTAAGTATTCCTAGTTTAGGATGACATTTGCTTTCCCGTGCAGCTCTGTCAGTTTGGGGGTCTGGATAAGTATAAAGACCCCTTTTAAAATAGGCCACTTACAGTTTCAACTAATTATATTAACCGATGATAATTTAAATCTAACTGGAAATATTAACGTCCCCGTTATTAAACTATTAATGTCTCTATTATTAAACACCACCATGGCACTGGGTACTTGGGATAAAACTAGCCTCTAAAACAAACAAACAAAATTACTAATACTGTCATCACTGGAGTTGAAGAATTCTTAGATCCTATTATGGGAACCAACTGTATCATGAACCAACTGTTTTCTGCAAAAGCAGAAAACAATGGTATCTACACTATCTACATAGCAATTATAGTATCTCAATTAACTCTTAATTGTAACATATTAAGAATTCGCTGGCATATTTAGGGCTCACTAAATTTCATGATTTTACATGGGAATGGCTATGATCACTGGGTTTTAGTCCTTTATGCCTTCACCATATATTTCCATCATAGTACCTCTAAGAATGTATTGTACTTACTTATACACACATCTGTAGTTATCATTAGAAAGTAAGTCACTCCAACATGAAGCCCACATGCCTTATTCACTGTTGTGCATGTCTGGCATACAGCAGGCATTTACAAAAATGTTCCTTCACTGAATGAATATTGAGCCAAAGTTCACTGGTAGATAAAATGAATTTAATATCGGTTCTAATATGTCCTATAAGAATCAAAATAATGATAAAGAAAGTACACTGTCCACTAAATAAATGCCAGAACAATATGAACCCTCCGACACACAGATGACCATGTTGTCAACTGAATCACTTTAAACAATTAATGGTTTATTTTTAGGCCTAGCGGCAGCCATCAGTAATCAAAATGAAAAGAGACACTATTTTTCTATTAGAAGATTAAAAAAATTCATCACTTCAAGAACTCTGGCTCTGTGGTATCCAAAACCCTGTAAGGGTTTGCATCACATATATTCCCTGCAAGGTTAAAATTAAAAGTCAAGTTACTCATATAGTTAGTGTCAGAACAACACGTTTGCTTCATACAATTAAAAATATTTAGTAATATCACAGTCCCACTTACACATACCCCTCCCAAGTAGCAAATGCTGAATATGTAAATGTATATATGCCATATATATACACACATGTGTCATATATAAAGCCTGTAACATAGGTGCTATTCCTGTACTTTGACATGTGTACAGGGCACTGTGCTAAGAACTATAGGGGATGAAAAAGAAACTATCTATTTGCAAAGACAAAGGTTTAAAAATTGAATTTTAAAATAACATTTGGACATCTGAAGACAAGGACTATCCAATGGCAACTGGACCACATGGCCACGAGGAGCCACAGCAGTTCAGAGAGACAGAGAGAGAGAGAGGGAGAGAGAGAGAGAGGGGGAGAGAGGGAGAGAGAGAGAGAGAGAGAGAGAGAGAGAGAGAGAGAGAGAGCATTTCAAG